GGCTTCTGTTGCTGAGTATGACTTGAGGTAGTTGAGGGAGTGCCCTCTTATACCATAGTGTGACAATTTTACGTGGAGCAAGTCATGGTCAACTGTATCAAAAGCTTTACGTAAGTCAATGAAGATCCCTAGTGGGACTTCTTTTTTCTCTATTGCAGTGTATATATGTTCTAGCATGTGTATAATAGCATCATTAGTATTTTTATTAGGCCTGAATCCAAATTGGCAGGGGTTGAGTACGTTTTGGGAGATAAGGTAGGAGTAGATTCGTTTATGAATTAATTTTTCAAAGATTTTTGAGAGAGGGTGTAAGTTGGATATTGGCCTATAGTTATTCAACTCTGTTTGGTCTCCTCCTTTGTGGATCGGGGTGACCCTTGCTATTTTGAGTACTGTAGGGAAGGTGGAGGATTCAATGGATTTGTTAAAGTGTGTTGCAATGATTGGTGATAGCACTTGTGACACTTTTTTGTATATAAAGTTTGGAGGGAGGGGGTAAAGGAGGTTTTGTGTGCGAGGGGCTTGGACTTCCAGCAGGCATGCGTGAGCGTGTTTGATAGGAGTGAATGGAGACAAATGGTTTTTAATACTTGACGTGCTGTTGGAGTGTGAGCAAAGTAACATTTATGAAGGGGTTCAGGGAAACCAGCAGGCCGGACTTGAGTCCTGGAGATGGGAAGTACAGTGCCTGCACTCTGAAGGAGGGGTGTTAATGTTGCAGTTTAAAAACTGTAGTGTAAAGCACCCTTCTGGCAAGACAGTGATGGAGTGAATGATGGTGCAAGTTTTTCTTTTTCGGGCCACCCTGCCTTGGTGGGAATCGGCCAGTGTGATAATAAAAAAAAAATAAGGTATTTAAATCTCCTGCCTTGTTTTTTAGTGCGTTGATAATAAGGGAGACTTCGTATGGGTTAGTCGGAGCTAGGAACAGTGTGTTCGGGTAGTTGCCGGTGAGGTAGTCATTTGGTGGGGTATCTGAGCTTGGGATTTTATTGGCAAGGTTTTGTCCTATAGTGGAGAAGAAATCATTGAGTCTGTTTGCTGTTTCTGTTGGTGGGAGTTGGGGTTCATCTGATTTTGCTAATTTTATTTCGCTATTTCGTGATATCTTTTTTGTTCCCAGAATTTCTGATAGGGTTTTCCAGGTCTTTTTTATATCACCTCGTAAGTTGGATAATCTGTTCTCATAATACAATTTTTTGCCCTTCTTATCAGGCTGGTTAGGATTGACGAGTAACGTTTTGTTTGGTCTCTGGTTATGTGATCCATTCTGTACTGTTTTTCATATTGGTGTTTTGTATTTAATGGATTTTGAGAATGCTGGTGTTAGCCAGGGACTGTTCAGTCTCTTTGCTGTCATCTGTTTAGTTTTTTAGGGCAGTGCTTGTTATAGAGGTATTGGGTTTTTTAGAAAATTATTAATACATTCGTCAATATCTGTATAGATTTCTAGCTCAGTGTGCCAAATCAATGTTTGCTATTGCTGTTGTGAAGTTATTAATGGCTGCCTCATTGTGAAGTCTGAAGGTGACTTTAGTAGTGTCTTTGGGTAGTTTACCAAAGTTGTTATGAGGAAAGTAGGGTAGTGGTCTGTGGTATATCTGAATTATGCCTGATTTTAAAGGGGATATGGTGTTGGTCCAGATGTGGTCAAGTGGGGAAACACTAGTCCTGTAACTCTTGTAGGTTTTTTTAAAGTTGGTAGTAACATACAGTTACTCATTTTTGTTTGTGAATTCATAACGTGTGGGCCCCTGGTCTTGCAGGAGATTTATATTGAAGTCACCTGAAGTAGTAAGTGATCTTTGTTCATCGTGCATCAGTTATCATACTCCTAGTTTTTGACTAAATTGGCAAATGTTTGACTGTGGAACTCTGTAGATGTTTATCAATGTGAGAGGTTTTTGTAGGATTTGGGATTTGAATTTAGCTATTATATATTCCCCATTTTTCATCCCTTGTGCAAGTATTAGTGATACATTCTAGTTGGCCCTGAGTAGTAATATGGCTGTGCCACCCCCTTGTTGGTCTGGCCTACAGTTGTGTATGGCTGTTTTAACCAGGAATGGCATAGACATCTGTACTATCTGGTTTAGCCAGTTTCAGTTAGTGTAATGATGGACATATTGGCATGTAAGGAAATTTAGGGATGCTATGAGGTCATCGTAATGCTTGCTAAAGATCTGATATTGTAGTTAAAGATAGTTATGTTGTTGTTGGTACTGAGAAGTGCCTTTGATGTTCTGCAGTGTAGTAATTACAGTAACTGTTTTATCCCTTTAAGTCATTAAATAAGAGGTTGTATCAGGATCAATGCTTGTAATCATAAAAATTTGTAGTGAATCTATAGTTAGAATTAAGTATAAAAACAAAAGTAAATAGTCTTAAGCTAAAAAAAAAGCACCTGGATTATTTAACAAATGTAAAATAATTTAGCTAAGGGACTAATACAAATAAATGAGATCAAAAATGGAGCTTTGGGGAAAATGATAGTAGGTAGTACTATAAAGGTAATTTTTTAAAAGTTAGAATTATAGTTTAAAATTATAATAATAAAGGGACTAATATAAGGGTTATTGAACAAAAAAGGGTAATCAAAAAATGAGCTTTGGGAAAATTTGGGGAAATTTGGAATATTTATTTTAAAATAAAAAGCCCTAAATTATTTTAAAATTAAATATAAACAAAAAGTTACATAAAGTAAAATAAAGGAGCTTCTTTTCCCCCCTTTTTTCCCCTCTTTTCCCCCTTCCCCCCTTTTTCCCCCCCTTTTTTTTTTTCTTCCCCCTCTCTCTCCCCCCCCCCCCCCCCCCCCCTCCCCCCTCCTCCCCCCCCCCTCCCCCCCCCCTCTCCCCCCCCTCCCCTCCCCCCCCCCCCCCCCCCCCCCCCTCCCCCCCCCCCCCCCCTCCCCCCCCCCCCCCCTCCCCCCCCCCTCCCCCCCTTTTCCCCCCCTCCCCCCCCTCCCCCCCCCCCCCCTCCCTCCCCCCCCTCCCCCCCTCCTCCCCCCCCCTCTCCCCCCTCCCCCCTCCTTCCCCCTCCCCTTCCCCCCCCCCCCTCCCCCTCCCCCCCCCCCTCTCTCCCCCTCTCCCCTCCCCCTTTTCCTCCTCCCCCCTCTCTCTCCCCCCCCCCTTCCCCCCTCTCTCTCCCCCTCTCTCCCCCCCCCTCTTCCCCCCCCCTTCCCCCCCCCCTCTCCCCCCCCTCCCCTCCCCCCCCCTCTCTCCCCCCCCTCCTCCCCCCCCCTCCCCCCCCCCCCCTCTCTCCCCCTCCCTCTCCCCCCCCCCCCCTTTTCCCCCCCTCCCTCTCCCCCTCCCTCTCTCCCCCTCCCTTTTCCCCCCCTCCCTCTCCCCCCCCCCCCTCTCCCCCTCCCTCTCCCCCCTCCCCTCCCCCCCTCCCTTCCCCCCTCCCTCTCTCCCTCCCCCCCCTTTTCCCCTCCCCCCCTCTCCCTCTCTCCCTCCCTCTCCCTCCCCTCCCCCCCTTTTCCTCCTCCCCCCCTTTCCCCTTCCCCCTCCCTCTCTCTCCCTCCCCCCCTCTCCCCCCTCCCTCTCTCTCCCTCCCTCCCTCTCTCTCCCTCCCCCCTCTCCCTCCCTCCCTCCCCCTCCCCCCTCTCCCCCCTCCTCTCCCTCCCTCTCTCTCCCCCCCCCTTCCCCTCCCTCCCCCCCTCCCTCTCTCTCCCTCTACCCCCCCCCCCCTCTCTCCCCTTTCCCCCCTCCCCCCCTCTCTCCCCTTTTCCCCCCCTCCCCCCCCTTTCCCTCCCCCCCCCTTCCTCCCTCCCCTCCCCCTCCCTCTCTCCCCCCCCCCTCCCCCCTCTCTCTCCCTCTCTCCCCCCCTATCCCCCTCCCCCCCCCCCTTTTCCTTCCTCCATTCTTCCTCTCCTATTCCCTTATCCCCTTTCCCATCTTTCTTGTTTTCCCCCCCAATTTGATGTAACTTGCACGGGCAGTAGCAACAGTGATTTCTTTCTCTTTTCCCCATTGTATCTAACAAAACCCTGCTTATATAACCCCTCCAATATGTTCATTTTTCATCATATTCCTGATCAGTCTCTCCCAAAACATAATTTATCCCACGGCACCCAATAAAATAAACAAAAATTTTAATGCATTTGGTAAAATATGGGAGAAAATACAGGGGAAACCCTTTGGTTTTCGCGTTTAAAACCGTTCAAAAAAGTTGTGATAAACTGAATGGGTACAAAAAGAAGCAATAATTCCCGTAAAATAATGTAAACCCAAAATTAACCCGTTCCGACATCCAAAAAATATTAACAAAAAATACATTTTATAGAGAAAAATTATATTTTTACATACAAACCGGGCATACGAACCCCGAGTTTCTACTTTTTTTTTATTTCAGCCTTTAAAATACATAATTTTTAAATGACTGTTTTTCAGCATATACAGAACAAACAAGAAGTCCATACACTATAAAAAAAATTTTAAATTATAAAATTTTTCATGAAAAAATAGCCGATGTAAAAAATTTATTGAGAAAACGTAATTTGTTTAATTATTAGCAATATTTTGTACACTTTTCCCAAAGTACCCGGCATAAGTCTGGTACCTACTGTATTGAGAAAAAAAATTTTTTTTTAATGAATCCCATCTGCAGTTACAACATAACCAAATTGGGCATCATACATCCTATCGTTTTTAATGGGGCCCAAAAGGTCTGGGGTTACGACTGCCTCATACAAAAAGGGGAAAAATTTAAAAAGGCAAGTTTTGGTAAGTTTGAGGCCATCCCTTATTATTGATCTTGGGGCACTGTGGTTGAAAATAATATATTTCTTTATCAGTGATGCTTCTTTTCCCTTTGTTGTATTGTGTGGAAAAACTCTTCTAATTAATCTTTTGGTAAACTTTGTTTTTTAAAACTGTTTAGATTTTTCTCATTATCCAAAGCTTACCTGTACTTATTACCTTTGTAAGAATTATTAGGGGATGTTTTGAATTATTTGTAGTGAGGTAAATTTGTCATTTATAAAATAAATTTTTTTTCAGATGCACTGTTGCATGGAAAAAGCAATTAAGCGAGATGAAATAGACACAAATATCGACGTTACTTTGCCGAATCCACCTAAAAAGGCAGGATTACCTCAAGCTGTCTGCGCAGCAAACTTTGCTTGGGGTTTAAACGCCTTCAATGACTTTTTAAGCGTCAGTAAAGGTTAGAATGTACGTATTAAAAAATAAGATATGAATAAAACTGTAGATAAAATTTAAAAGTTTAACCTCTAATTTCCCGATGATTACACTAGAGGTTCCCCAAGTTCTGAATTTCAAAAGAAATTTTTTCTAAAATATTCTTTTACCCTTAAACTTTGGGTACCCCCAAAAAAAATTCCTGTTGTGGGGGAAAATTTTGAAAAAAAAAATAATTCTTACAGAAAGAAGGATGTATTTTTCTGGATCGAATTGATTTAAAAGAAGGAAAATGATTAAAACTTTGATTTTATGTGTGTTGAAATTGGCAAAATATAAAATGACATTTATCATAAAAGTGGGGATAAATGCACCAGTAATTTTTACATTTTTAATTTACGATGCCAAGTCGATTGTTTTTTGTATGTAATTCTGTTAAAATTTAACCATGCGCCTATTTCTTATGAAATTTTAAAGTGTTTAAAGATGCTTCAGCACTTCAAACATGGGAAAATCTTGTTCAACCCTTGCCCACTTGGAATTAGCAATTAAAAACTATTTAAAATATATATTTTTTTTTTTTTTTTCTAATGCTATGACATGGAATGTGAGTGATGGTGAAAGGTTTCTTTTCAGGTCACCTTACCTCAGTGGGAGGCAGTGTTGATAAAAATAATTGCTAGTTTTTTTTTCCAAATGTCGTGTATTTTTTTCACTTCCTCATTATCCCTGCTCAGTTTCTTCATAATGTAGTAATTGCTTATTTCTTCAGTGGAGGAAGGGGCATACCAGAGTGAGGCTGAAGGACAAGTTGTATTTTGTATGTTTTTTTTTTTTTTTTTGTGACATACCTGTACTTGTTTTCTCTAGTTTAAAGAATACATTCTGACTAATAATTATTTTAGGCATTTGCCAAGCAGTTCCAGTTGAGTCCCGATGACCTAGACATGCATGTTATCTATGACGTGTCTCACAATATTGCCAAAATTGAACAACACTGGGTAGATGGAAAACTTCGCACTCTGCTTGTACATAGAAAGGTAAAGGTCAGATAAGTTCAACTTTTATCAGTTTTCATGTATAGGATTGGCCACAAAGGCTAGAGTTGCTTGCTCAATATGCTTGGAGAGTAGCTTTCATTTTTGCACTTTGTTAGGGTTGATATTTCAGCTTGTAAGTGTGTTATTACAGTATATACAGTAGTACTAGAGCAACTGCTGGAATTTTTGCTAAATGTGAAAAGTATAGGTAAGCCAGTCATACTTTATGATTGTCCACTTCATAAAAGTTTATTCTGTAAATGGTGAAATACAGGGAACAAATTCATACAGTGAGTGCATGACTGTTAGTATGCAGTGTGACTTTCCATTTTAGACTTGTATATTCTTTGTGGCCTGCATTTAGGAGATAGCTGGCAGCCCACACATGAATAGTTACAAGTGCGTTGTTACTTTTATGATCAAATGTAGCATTACTTTTTTCCGCTTTACTAGTAATGTTATTAATCATATGGTATTTAAGTCAACTTAACTTTTTGATTTGGCTCTGTCAAAACTGGTCTATGAAGTTACAATATTTAGAAAATATTCTCAATGGATTTAGTGGATTTACCACAACATTATCATTCACCTTAAAGTGTGAACATTTTACTTCTCACCTCCAGAACTCTATAATGTTCCTGACTTTTGTGAATACTATATTACTGATATCAAATCTCAAAACAATCTTTTACTTTTATTCTGAAATGCACACACAAACATGCACATATGCTACACCACCTTCCATCTATCTTAGACATATTCTTGATAACTTAATCTTCCACATCCTTCCTAAATTGCACCTCCACTTTCCAAATAACAACTTATGTACTACTAAACCATGGTACAAGTGCTGGTGTATTTTTTCTGTCTTCTAAACACAAAAGATAACAGGTATATTTTTCTTCTGTTACTTAAACTTTGGTCACACTACACATACATTTTTTTTTTTCAACAAACTGGCCGTATCCCACCAAGGCAGGGTGGCCCAAAAAGAAAAATGAAAGTTTCTCTTTTTAAATTTAGTAATTTATACAGGAGAAGGGGTTACTAGGCCCTTGCTCCCGGCATTTTAGTCGTCTCTTACAACACGCATGGCTTACGGAGGAAGAATTCTGTTGCACTTCCCCATGGAGATAAGAGGAAATAAACAAGAACAAGAACTAGAAAGAAAATAGAAAACCCAGAGGGGTGTGTGTATATATATATGCTTGTACATGCAAGTGTAGTGTGACCTAAGTGTAAGTAGAAGTAGCAAGATGTACCTGAAATCTTGCATGTTTAACCCTTTCAGGGTCCATCCCGTAGATCTACGGCTTTACGTTCAGGGTCCAAACCGTAGATCTACGTCATGAGCTTAGGTCACTCTGATAAACTGTGAGTGGTACATTTGGGCCTAGATATGAGAGAATGCATCTATGTGGTATGTGTGCACCACATAAAACAGATCCTGCAGCACACTGTGTATAATGAGAGAAAAAAAACTGAAATCATGATTTTTCGATTAAAACAGCGACTTTGCAGTGTTTTTTCGTATGTTTTTTATAGTTGTATTTGCGATTTCTTGGTCTCATTTGATAGAATGGAAGACATATTACAGAAATAGAGATGATTTTGATTGGTTTTAGCACTGGAAATGGCTTGAAACTTAGCTCAAATTAGCAGAAATGTTAAATTTTTGCCGATATTCGAGAGTAAACAAACGACCTCACACGTCTAATACACGCCAGCTGGTGGGTCTAATGCATTCACAAATATGGTGATGATATTTATACAATTATTACAGTATTTCATAACAGTAAATCTTCTATTTTTTGGTGTGAATAAAAATTCATTATGTGAATAAAAAATAAAAATGGAATTTATTTGTAAAGCTTCAAAACGTAACTAATGAACAGAGGAAATGTTAGTTTAGTTCCAGGAATACCTACATTGTTTATTCTGGACCCTATTTTGAAATTGGAATATTTTGAACTTTGTGTTAAATTGGCCAAATTAACAATTTCCGATCACTTTAATTTGTAGTTGAAACAGTTGACTTGGCGATTTCTTGTGCTCAATCGATAGAATAGAAGTAATACTAGTGAAATAGCTAAGAATTTGGTTGACTGGAATAATGTAATTGGCCTAAAATGGGAGTCAAAGTCGGCAAAATCGCCGATTCGTAAATATCGCTGACACATCAAAATTCGCGAGAGCATAGTTTCGTCAGTTTTCCATCAAATTTCTCACTTTTTGTTTTATTACCTTCACAAAAAGATTCTCTACCATTTCATAAGAAAAAATAACAAATTTTTTTTTTGGAAAATTCTTGGACACTGAGGCACCACTTCAGATTTGGGTCTTGGACCCTGAAGGGGTTAAGAGACAGAAAAAAGACACCAGCAATCCTACCATCGTGTAAAACAATTACAGGCTTTAGTTTTACACTCACTTGGCAGGACGGTAGTACCGGTACTCCTTGGGCGGTTGCTGTCTACTAACCTACTACCTACAACACATACATGTACATACATGTACATACATACATACATTTTTTTTTTTTTTTTAACAAGTCGGCTGTCTCCCACCGAGGCAGGGTGACCCAAAAAAGAAAGAAAATCCCCAAAAAGAAAATACTTTCATCATCATTCAACACTTTCACCACACTCGCACATTATCACTGTTTTTGCAGAGGTGCTCAGAATACAACAGTCTAGAAGCATATACAGTGGACCCCCGGTTAACGATTTTAATCCGTGCAAGAGGGGTAATTGTTATGCGAAATAATCGTTATGTGAATGAATTTTCCCCATAAGAAATAATGGAAATAAAATTAATCCGTGCAAGACACCCAAAAGTATGAAAAAAAAATTTTTTTTACCACATGAAATATTAATTTTAATACACACAAACTGAAAAAGGCATGCACACTTACATGACACTTACTTTTATTGAAGATCTGGTGATGATTGATGGGATGGGAGGAGGGGAGAGGGTGTGTTAGTGTTTAGAAGGGGAATCCCCTTCCATTAGGACTTGAGGTAGTAAGTCCTTTTCTGGGTTACTTCCCTTCTTTTTTAATGCCACTAGGGCCAGCTTCAGAGTCACTGGACTTCTTTCGCACAAGATATCTGTCCATAGTGGCCTGTACCTCTCGTTCCTTTATCACTTCCCTAAAGTGTTTCACAACATTGTCAGTGTAATAGTCACCAGCACGGCTTGCAATAGCTGTGTGAGGGTGATTTTCATCCATGAAGGTTTGCACTTCAAGCCACTTTGCACAGATTTCCTTTATCTTTGTAGTAGGCAACTTCTTCAATTTCTCTCTCTCCCCTCCTCTGAACCAGTTTCCCAGGTCTGGCCTCTTGCTCTGAAGTTGATCTATCAGCTCATCAGTGGTTAGTTCTTCATTGTCCTCCTCCACCAACTCTTCCACATCCTCCCCACTAACCTCCAACCCCAAGGACTTTCCCAATGCCACAATGGATTCCTCAACTGGCATAATCCTCTCAGGTTAGCCTCAAACCCTTCAAAATCCCTTTTGTCTACACATCTGGCCACAGTTTTTCCAAGCAGAGTTCAAGGTCCTCTTAGTCACTTCCTCCCAAGCCTTACCTATAAGGTTTACACAATTGAGGATAATTAAAGTGATCTCTCCAAAACTCTCTTAGTCAGTTGAGTTTCTGAGGTCATTACAAGCACCTTTCAAACAGAGCTTTTGTGTACAGTTTCTTGAAGTTGGAAATAACCTGCTGGTCCATGGGCTGCAGGAGAGGAGTGGTATTAGGAGGCAAAAACTTGATGTTAATGAATTTCATGTCCCCATAAAGTCGCTCGCCACGTCTGTAGGATGACCAGGGGCATTGTCTAACACCAGGAGGCACTTAAGTTCTAATTTCTTTTCAGTTAGGTAATCTTTCACATTGGGGGCAAATGCATGGTGTAACCAGTTATGAAAAATTCCCTAGTGACCCATGCCTTACTGTTTGCCCTCCACAGCACACACAAATTATCCTTGAGGACATTCTTTTGCCTGAACGCTCTGGGAGTTTCAGAGTGATACACTAATAAAGGCTTCACTTTGCAATCACCCACTAGCATTGGCACACATCAACAAAGTAAGCCTGTCTTTCATAGGCTTATGTCCTGGGAGTGCCTTTTCCTCCTGAGTAATGTAGGTCCTGCTTGGCATTTTCTTCCAGAACAGGCCTGTTTCATCACAATAAACACTTGTTCAGGTTTCAGTCCTTCAGTTTCTATATACTCCTTGAATTCCTGCACATATTTTTCAGCTGCTTTGTGGTCCGAACTGGCAGCCTCACCATGCCTTATCACACTATGGATGCCACTACGCTTCTTAAAATCTCTCAAACCAACCTTTGCTGGCCTTAAATTCACTCACATCATCACTAGTTGCAGGCCCTTTTTTTAATTAAATCTCATGCAACTTCCTAGCCTTTTCACATATGATCGCTTGAGAGACGCTATCTCCTGCTAGCTTTTTTTCATTTATCCACACCAATAAGTGTCTCTCAACATCTTCCATCACTTGCGATCTTTGTTTCGAAAACACAGTTAAACCTTTGGCAAGAACAGCTTCCTTGATTGTCTTTTTGGTGCCCACAATAGTAGCGATGGTTGATTGGGGTTTCTTGTAAAAACTTGACTAGGTCGGAAAAAACCACTCCACTTTCAAACTTTTCATGATTCTTTTTTCTTTTTCAATGGGAAAATTTTAAACCCTTATTGGTGTAGGGTTTTGGCACTAAAAAGCTTTTTTGGGGGCCCCCTGGTCACTTATTTTCCAAAAAACACCACCGAAAACACTGTAATAAAAAACGAAATATTCAAGTGTATGTTTTGGATGTTAGCGCGGAGGCTGCCTCCCCCCCCAATGGCCGGGCGGCCATGTGGGGCTGGGTGAGGGCGCACTTTGGGACGGGGTTCGGACAAAAATTTCGGTGAGGGGTTTTTTTAATGGGTACCCGGGGAAAATTTTTTTTGGTTAAAAGTAAGGGGTA